ACAACATGGCAATCGACACGATCTTCCTCTGCCTCTGCGCCGACAAGGAGCGCGTGGACGCCGGCATGCCGCCCCTCGGCCGTGCGCACGAGCTCTCCAGCGTGCTCGGCGTGCCCATCGACGCGCCGGCGCCCCAGCATCCCCGCGGCAAGGGGGGCAGGAGGATGCTCGAGACGCCAGCCGAGAGATCCGGCTCCGATCCGTCCAACAACCCGTTCTCGCGGGGCTCGGGCGTCGTGGACGACGGCGGCTACCGCATCTAGTGATCTGTGAGCTGTGAGGGTCCGCCCGCAGGCGCATTTTGTATACCGAGACGGTGCCCGGTGCCGAGCGCAGGCCGGTGTGCCCACAGGTCGGACCTTAGCATCTAGTGTGCATATGTATGTGAAGAGGTACGTGCATCATGTCGACGCGGCGCGCGTTCAAATGCCGCGGACGGAAGGAAACGGCCCTACGGCTTTACGGCCCTACCTACCTACGTACATTCTACGTGCGGCTACACCTACACGAGAGCTCGAGCGCGGCTTCGTTGGCGGATCCCACCATCCGAAGGAAGCGTCGCCTCTTTTTGCATTTTGGCCCGGCATCCGTGTAGCAGCCGCGATATCCGTCTCCATTCGCGTGAACACGCTTGAACCCAGTTGAGCAGCCAGCGCAGCGCACGAGCACCAGGCCCTCCGAGGCGGCGACAGCCAGTGCATCCGCGAGGTCCATGACGTGGATAAAAAAGATCTACAGGCGACTCAAAAAAGAAAACACAACCACAAACAGACTATGGCGAACGAGCTCGAGCCGCGCGCGTCGCACGTCCTGCCTGCCGCGGTGAGCGCCTGGATCTCGGGCCGCCGCGCCCGGCGCGAGAGCCCGGAGGACGTGCTCGCGGATCTCGGCCTCTGCCTCGCGAGCGAGGCCAGCGAGAGCGAGGAGGAGCGCTGGCTGCGGGTTGCGTACCTGGTGGCCGAGTGCCGCTCGCTCTGCCGGCCACGGTCCCGGCCCGCCTCGGCAGGCGACACCACCGCCACCGACGCCGCGCGAATCCTCGCCGGTGCGTCTGCCGTGCTTGTCCTGGTCGGCGCGGACGCGTCAGAGTCGTCCGGCTTCCCATGCTTTCCGAGCCCCGCTGGCGCGCGGCCGGTGGACGGCTCGCCCAACCTCTTTGAGCGCGTCGCGGCGCGGCACGGCCTCGCGACGCCGGAGAGGCTCTTCGAGATGAGCAGCTTTGTCATCAATTAATCAGTCGAGAATTAACGACTGCTGATCATGACAGGCTCTTCGAGATGAGCAGCTTTGTGGC